AAACTGCGAATTGCCCAAATGGTATTTCGTCTATGTTAAGGTCCTGATTTTTCTGCGCGAAGATAGCTTTTGGATCCATCATGGCCCACCACTTCAACAAGACTAAAGTCTCCTGCTGACAGTGAAAATTCGAACTAGAAGCGCTTTGAAATGAGCCGTGAAGAACAGATCAGCTACAGCGGCAATTCTTACTCTGCTCCTGCAAACAAGCAAATGTTTTGGACAGTTCCCTAGTAGATGCAACTTATCTTTGTGGTTAGCAATTTATCGCTATCCGCGTTGATCGTTTTGCATTCGGCACTCGGTGTGCGCTGGTTGGCTACGCATTTGTCATCTTGCGAAGAAAGGCGAATTTGTATCGCGCACTATGTAATATGACTGCGCCGACGAACGCGCGGTCTGTCTTTGTGCCATAAACGACGAGTGAAGCGGCATTTACTGTGGTTTCTGAATATTAATGTGGACTGCATTTGAACCGTTTTCAACCTCTCGGTCACTGTTTGTAAAAAGCTATGAATACAACTTTTTGGCTGCATCAGCTGGGAGCAAATGTTTGAAAAGCTAATTTTTCTTCCACACCAAAGAGAACTAGATAGGCTGAGAGAGTCTAGGGACTCCTTGTTATTTTTAGATTGTGCGTATGGCTACAGGAAGATATAATTTAAAAAATGGAACCGCACTAAATGTCCTTGAAGGTAAAAGATCTCTGGCTAGACATGTACTTTAAGGACACAGCTGAAACTTTTTTAATATCAGGAATTACAGTTGTTTTTAGCGTTTGTTAAAATTCTGATAGGTTCATTTCATCGAAAAAGAAGAACATGTTTCCTATCGCATTTCGCAAATATTTGAAAAATACCACCATTTTTTGGTGGATCATTTGAGCTTGTAGTGATGAGATATTTGGAGAAGATGGAGACATTTTCCATCTCCATAACTGTTGCTCAAAGTTAAAGCATAATTGCTTTTAACTTTATACTTTTGAACAAAATTATTTCTTTAAAGTGAAGAACTGGGATAGCCCAA